GACTTTGGTATGATAATTGGCATCCTCTTGGCCCTTTAGAAAAGATTCTTGGAGAGAGGTTCATTCGTGAATCCAGATTGAGTAGACTTGCTAAGGTGGCTGATATTGTTGAGGGTGATACTTGGAGATGGCCATCAGTTCACTCCCCACCTTTGTCTGATTTGATGCGAGCTACGCTTGATACTTTTCGGCCGGACAGTAATAGAGAGGTTGTATTGCGATGGGAGGATGATGTACATGGAGTCTTCTCTATTCGGAGTGCTTGGGAGTCTCTTCGACTGCGCTGCCCTAGGGTGACTTGGTATCACATCGTATGGTTCCCTAAATGTATTCCAAGACATGCATTTATCCTTTGGTTAGCAATTCAAGTGGCATCTATACACAAACAAAGCTTCTTAGCTTTGATTTGATTCAATCTATGCGTTGTGTGCTATGTGGATGTTCAGTGGAGGATTTGGATCATCTTTTCTTTGCATGCCCATTTTGTGAGCGTGTTTGGAATGCTCTGCATGTGAAATGTAACTTGCCATGGGTTCAACGGAGTTGGCTTGATTCTCTCTCTTGGATGGAACAATTTCGTGGGAGGTCATTGTCCTCTATCGTTATCCGGTTAATGTTTGCGGCTTCGATTTATGCTATTTGGCGTGAACGTAATGCTAGGACCCATGGGGAGGCTCCTAAAAATGAGTATATTGTTATTCAAGATATTGTTTTTACTATTTGTGCACGAGTGAACTTGTACAGTAGCTTGGTTCCATCTAATGAAAATAGATGACTCCAATGCTCTTGGGGATTTTCTACAGATATTTTTTGTTCTCGTGATTAGGATATGAGCACTTTCTAGAATTTTGATATTGTTGTTAGGAAGACATTAATTCCTAGCATTGTTTTCTGGGGTATGCCCCTGTGATTTGTACTTATTTTTATACTTTGGATATAATACACTTACCTTATCCTAAAAAAAAGGGTTGAATTGGGCCAAAAAAAAGTCCAAAAATATAAAAATTCGTGTTCCCACATATCCGGCACCTCAGCGCTCAATATGGGCACTGCGGCACCGGGCTTGCTACTCAAATTCAGATTCAGGGGCACTGTGGCACCCATCTTGGTTGCCTCAGCACTCGGTTCGGTAGGAAACGACAGACTGCACATTTTTCAGTATTTTTAACATAACTTTATTGTTCATTATCTGATTGAGGTGATTCAAGATGTATTAGAAGCTAACTCAAAGGGGTAACAACTTTGATTCAGACATCATTCCCCACCTCGATCATTTTCTTTGTCTAAAATAGGTCTCAATAAGAGACTGAAATTCTGGAGCGTAACTTTTCAGTTGGAAATTGATTTGTGATCATATTTTGCCTAAATTTAATCCATGTGACATCTTTCCTCATCCAATTGACTCCTAGTACTCTCAGATCTTCAATGCGAGGTTCGATACAAGTTTTGATTATTTGCGTTTTAGTCCCCGAACTTTGGATCTCTTACAATTGATCCTTTAATCCAACTTCGCCAACTTTTGTCTATTTCCTTCAATTTTTAATCAACCTATATCATAACATCAAAAGACACATTAAGCTCCCATTAAATTTTATTATATTACATTTTATTTTTCTCTCTATATTTTCAACCACACAATTTTTCATAAAATAATATTATACGTAAATTGAAAACTTTTCCTTTTTTTTCAACCACTCATTTTCCATCAAATTTTCATTTCTAGAAAATGGGGGCAAAACGGGAGCTAAAATGTTCTAAATCATTCTCAAATGTAACAAAATAAAGAATTAAGTGGCATAAATATAATGACTGTGGAGCACTCATCAAATACCCCCAAACTTAATATTTTACTTGTCCTCGAGCAAAATCCAAACAAAATAAACTCATTAACAAGCACACAAGATCACTTAAAAAACACATTGTGCTAGACTCCTTGCATTCATAGCTCAAGATTGAAAACATAATGTCAAATTCACAAATCACTTCAAAGGTGTAATGCACAAGCTAAATTCTCACTTATTCAATGCAAAACGGGTGTGTGAGTGTGTGTGTGTGTGTGTGTGTGGAGAGAGTTAAGTGCAACGCTGTATAATAATAAATTGATCCAATTCCTAACCTTAAAAGTCAACTATTTCCTTACTCCACTCGTGGGAATCACACACCCTCAAACTTATTTTCTTTTCACTTCCCACATGGTGTGATCTAAGATTAATTTCTCAATACTAATTTCTTATACTACTCAAGTTTGGTTAGATTTTCCTAATTGTAGTTCAACATGCCATTAAGTAAGAATTCTCCTTATTTTTTACTGCTTCAACCTCCAAAAATCAATCAAATTACTTAACCCCTTGTCAAAAGCCTAATCCTCTCAAATAACTGTTTACGGCTCAATCAATGTGTAATACTCCGAATTTTGTGCTCATTTAATTTTTAGAATAGCAATTTAACTTTTCAAAATTTAGTATGGCCAAAAAATTATTTAGGGTTGCCAACTTTTGCATTGGTTGATTTATTAAAAGTTTTTCCAAATAATTTGTTAATCAGGGGCTAGGGATAAATGTCCATTTTATACCTAATTACTAAAGTTAAACATTGTTTCTCCAACTTGGCCGAAAATTGATGAAACATATATGCATGAGCTGTTTTAATTTAAGCATGAGGTGGCTAACTAATGCATGAGGTGTTTTGGATTTAAGAAAATGAAACCATGCAGCCTACACATGTTGAATTTCTTGAAGAGTCACCCAAAATTAATCATTTTTCTCACCTATAAATAGATGTGTTGCTGCCCTTTATTTCTCTTGCATGAAAAACAACTTATCACTTGTTTAAAAAAGGGCTGAAAACGTGAGGGAAGAAGAGGACCAGCCTAGCATTTCTCAATTCATTTTCAACCAAGATTTCTTCAAGTTTTATTGTAAGATACTTTCTATGCTTAAGTGGTATGATTTCATGGTAATATTTATGTTTAAGCTATGCATGAAAAACCATAATATGAATGTGGTGGACAAGTGCACAAAGTCAGATATCTATTTATACCTTAGGACAAGTCCGAAGGGTACCGACAAGTCGGAATGTGCAAGTATGTGTTTGATTACATTCTTATGTGTTTGATTACATTCTTTTGTGTAGTATTAACATGATAAAATCCAAGCATGGTATCTTACTGAGTATTCTTTATACTCATAGTGTTCTATACTAAATTCTCAGATTCATAATTGTGGAGTTGGTGGAAGTCAGTCGACAAAATCGATGATGGATCAAGGACAAAATTATTTTACGTCGAAGTTTCTATTTTGTATGTTTTGTTTGACTGCTTTCCATATGTTTTGCTTTTGTTATTATATAAAAACATGTATAAGACATGATGTAATATGATACTGGAAGTAAATTATGTAATTATATCTATCATGTTATGTTAAGAGACCTTTTTCTTTTTGTTTTTACTTTCCCTTGCAAATGATAAAAAGGTAGAAACGGGACAGTTTTTGGGTCAACTTAAACACGTTATTTTTGACTCCATAAACATCCATTTGAGACTCCGAAAATATTACTGCGTTCCTCATTGAGTTGTCTTAATATGGGCACAAGAATCACTCAATTTGGATATCTGTAGCCTGAGATATGAATTTTTAAACGTTGAAGGGTCAAATCTGAAATTTCTGTGCAATACCTCACTGTTTTCAGTAAAACGCCCATATTATATGATCTTGGAAATTTTTTATATTTTAACCTAGAAAACTTCTTGAAAATATCTTTCTAATGTCTTAAATTTCATAGAAAACAGAGTTGGGATGAATTTTATAAAAATAGTCGAACTTGCTGCTCCAACTAACCGTGGCAGTGCAGAGTCCATATATATAAAGTATAACTTCTTGTCGACATGCGCTTCTGCGGGCCATTAAAATTTATGAGAGACATTTTACCAAATTGAAAATAAGTTTCTAACATATAATACTTCTATTTAAGAGTATTTACATGTACCAAAGGCAGAAGCTATTATGTTTAGTACGTGACACTCGAAGCTTAAGTTCAGGGCGTCATAGCAATCAGAGCAGTTATACTTTTTGGTAGACTTTTTTTTAAAGAAAGTTACTGTCCTTCATCATCGAGCAAGCTAGCAACTGACTTTCAACCGACGATCAAGGTAAAAACTTTTTTTTTTAAAGTTTATGAGTTTTCTTATGCAATGAACTGCTATATCTATGGCTGGACATAGGAATATTTTGAATCAAGTCATGGTTGAGATTATGAAGTCATAAACACTTATGTCTAAATATTTATTAGAGCCTTGTAGAGTAACATAATCAATTTTTGTCCTAATTATGGCACGTACGGTAAGAACCCCCACAAGGACAGAAGTTTATAGTTTTGCGAAGAAGCAGGACATATTATCGACATTTTACTATAATTATTGTATGCATCTGCTCCATAGCCTCGAACAACATCTTGATCTGCTAGACTGTATTATTGAGATGTTATGGGAGATACACCATAGCTTAAGGGATAAGGTGAAGATACGGAGGTTATATGAAACTGTTCCAGAACCTTGGGCATCAGTCATAAATGAGATTGTGTTATGGTCTGACGACGATCTTTCATATGAGGACCTTACATATTTACTTCGAGAAAGTCATGAAACTAGTCGCGATTTACAGCGAAACTTTAAGAAGACTATAACCTTATCCATGAATACTAGTTTACGAGCTACCAATTCTAGGCTAGATAAGGGATCGTTGGCTAAGTGCTTTTCAAGAGTTCTAGATGAAAGTTTTCCCATACCATTACCAGATAATTCGGAGCAAAGCATGTTAGAGGAAGGCCCAGAGGAAGACCCCAATGAGGATCCAGAAGAAATAGAAGATTAGACATCATATTATCTAGCTATCTTTGTTTTTCTGGAATAGAATAGGATGTAATACGTACATCTACTTTTGAATGTATACCGTACCTCAATATGACTTTTGTTTGTGAAAAATAATAATGTATATATATGAAGGAAAGTTGTCTTGGCCTTTGGATTTTTTTTTTCTAAAGTTAGTATTACGTTCTGAAGTAATTCTAACTGGATGAATATTTTTCATTCAAAGGAAATGGCTCCAAAGCGCAACCACGGCAGTGCACCAAATTCCAATATGAACTTAGGCGACGGCAATGCTAATGCTAGTTCTAGTGGTGGCGAAGTTAATGTAGCAAATTTTGCACAAGAATTGCTTGCCGTAATGCGGGAGTTGGGACAGCAACAAGAGGCACAACCTTTGACTGGACAACGAACCCTAAATCAACAAGTACCAGTTGATCATCAGGAGCCCAACCAATCAGCTATTCAGCCTCAAATAGTACCTAACTCGAGGGATCAAACTGCAATGATAGAGCAGTTTCGTAAAATAAACGCTCCATCGTTCGAGGGGAGTATGGATCCCTCAGCAGTTGAGGATTGGTTACGAGAACTAGAACGTATCTTTAAATTTATAAGATGCGAAGATGCTGAAAGGGTAACATATTCAGTGTTTATGTTAAAGAAGGGGGCTAGCCATTGGTGGGACATGACTACCAGGTCATTAACACCTGCTGAAGAATAGGCTATAACTTGGGTGAGGTTTAAGGAACTCGAAGAAGAAAAATTCTTCCCGGCAGCTGTGAAAGATCAAAAGGAGATGGAGTTCCTCAGATTCCAACAGGGAACCATGACCCTCATGGAATATGAACGCAAATTTGAGGAATTATCAAGGTTTGCTCCACATTTAGTGGATACGGAGGAAAAGCGGGCTAGAA